CTTCTAATACAAAGGATATGATGTGTTCTAATGTCAAGCTTTGCCTATGGATAGCCCTAGGATTTCTAATTGCAATCAAATTTTTAATATATCAAATCAACATATAAAAAATATTAAATTTGGTGCAAGTCATACAAAAAAAGTCACATTTTAGAGAAGTAGTGTAATGTTTATTGTATCGCTAACTTTAGAGATAATTGAGTATCTAATGTTGTGTTAGATAACTTGTGCATTCAACACCAACATGTTAAAATTTTGATGGTGATGGTTTATAGGGATATTCCTAATGGTGTGGTTTACTAGCGTCAAATTGTAATTAGCTGTAGTTGAGATGTCATGAGGTTTTGTGCTTGTGTGGGAAACATAAATATGGTTATGAAAATCTTTAGATATGAGTTCCATAGGGAGTCTATTTTAAAATAAAAAATTTGTTGTCTAAATTAAATATATATGATGATATTTATGATTTTAATCCTTATATTTTTGTGCCAAAAATCTGTTAAAAATCATGGAAATTAAACAATATGTTGTAGAGTCTGGTGGAGCTAGCTAGACTATATGGGTTTGTTCTCCCTTTTCTTCTTCTGAATCATACTCCCACTCATCATATGATTCTTAAGATTAATCACTATAAATATGGTGGAATGAGGTATTAGTGAAGTAAGTGGGGAAGTTATCGGCTAGTGTAGGGAAAACTATATTATATTTAGCTTCTAATACAAAGGATTTGATGTGTTCTAATGTCAAGCTTTGCCTATGGATAGCCCTAGGATTTCTAATTGCAATCAAATTTTTAATATATCAAATCAACATATAAAAATATTAAATTTGGTGCAAGTCATACAAAAAAGGTCACCTTTGAGAGAAGTAGTGTAATGTTTATCGTATCGCTAACTTTAGAGATAATTGAGTGTCTAAGGTTGTGTTAGATAACTTGTGCATTCAACACCAACATGTTAAAATTTTGATGGTGATGGTTTATAGGGATATTCCTAATGGTGTGGTTTACTAGCGTTCAATTGTAATTAGCTGTAGTTGAGATGTCATGAGATTTTGTGCTTGTGTGGGAAACATAAAGATGGTTATGAAAATCTTTAGATATGAGTTCCATAGGGAGTCTATGATAAAAGAAAAATTGTTGTCTAAATTAAATATATATGATGATATTTATGATTTTAATCCTTATATGTTTGTGCCAAAAATATGTTAAAAATCATGGAAATTAAACCAGTGTTGTAGTGTCATAGAAGCAGCACCATTGTGTCATATCTTTCTATAGTGTTGTAGCACCACCCTTTATGTATTGTAGAAGAGGGCCTCCAAATATTTATTAGAGAGCTTAGCACTGTGGAGATATGTAGGAAGAACTGTGGTGCCATATCCAATGACCCAATGCCAAATTGCACAGTGCCCTGATATGAGGTAGTTAGATTGGCGAATCAATGCGATGAATGATGAATTGATGAGCCTGTCCAACAGTGTCGTAGTGCCACCAAGCTAGTGCCACAAGGCCAGTTCTATTAGCAAGGCTAGTTCAATTATTTTATAAATGAATATATTATAGCCTTATAATGTATGTAAATTAGTTGGCACTTTGGGGAGATGTGTGTGTATGAGTGCGAGAGACCATTTTGTAGAAGAATTAGCTCTTATCTAATTATTTGGTGTCTTTTGTTTGTATAAATCAAAGTAGAGGAGTGTGAAAGAGTCAATTCTTTAGATTCGGGTTACTTGTAACCTTTCTTCTATCATTTTTATTTTATTTATTTGTATATATTGTGTTTGCAAGTAAAATGAAAATGTTTGTGTTGTGTAGTGTTTCTCTGTGTAGTATATCAAATGATTCTAAATATATTATTATTTAAAAGACATAAATTACATGGTAGGTTTGATCTTTATAGATTACATAAGATGATTTTAATTTCTCAACTTCATCTAGTTTATGTATAGGTTGTACATAAACTTAAAACCTAATATGATATAGAGCCTCAATGGATGCGTAGATGAATAATTAGAGGTTTTAAAACATAATTTTTCCATAACATAGATATATGATGAGGGTTATAGAATCATAAGGAGATAGTAGAACTATAGTTAGGAGGAATCCTAATGAATACTTGAATGATCTTAGCAGAGATGAGGAGTACTTATGCTTGATTCAAAGCCATAATGTATAGAAACCCACTCTTATGCATTCATGCATTTTAAATATCATAGGTTCAAAGATTATTCAAATATTAAACTTTACATTCTACATTTTTTGACTTTTTATTTTAATTTGCACAACCTATTTATTATCATTGGCTAAATAAATAAAGTAGTTTCATGAAGCAGCATTAAATTCAATTTTAAAACTTTAAAGCTCCCTATGGGAACTACTAATCATCACTTTATTACTTGACCCAACAGCTGCACTTGCATAGAATAGGACTTACACCTTAGTAAATTAAACTATATTTGGAAGACCAAGTAGTGTGTAAGAAAAAATAAAAACCTATATTAGGTTTTTAGTGCTATTGCTAAAGAACTATATTAAAATTAAGATTTAATTTTACATTTTATACCAATGGTCAAACTTCTAGTTTAATCTATATTTTATTTTAATCTACTCAGTGTTGCCTTGCTTACTATTAATTAGAAATGTTTAGTATTTTACACATTTCTACTATGTTTCTTACTATTCCATGTATAGTACTAAATAACTAGTAGAACTCTTATTTGACACAAAAAATTAAAAAAGGCCTATAAAAAATTAGAAAAACTAAAAAAAAAAAAAAAGCCAAAAAAAAAAAAAAAAAAAAAAAAAAAAAAAAAAACTAAAAACGGCTGAGCAAATTTAAAAAAATGATCAACATATACCACTTAGAGAATACATTAACCCTATGGTTAAAGGCTTTCATGAATGTATAATAGACCTAAAATTTAGGCTAAAAATTTTGAACTGATATCTGTAATAATTCAAATGGTTCATAACTCTAAGTTGGGGAGAACTCTAATAAATGATCCTAATCTGCATTTGACTAGTTTCCTATAAATATATGCAACTTTCAAATATAATGGTGCTTCTAATGATATTTTTAGACTTAGGTTGTTTCTTTTTTCACTTGGATATAAAGCTAAGATGTTGTTGAATTCATTATTCCAAGGCTCAATTACAGCTTTGATTGCTTTATCCCATAATTTTTTTAACTAAATAGTTACCCTCATCTATAACTGCTAAGCTTTTAGATGCAAGAGCTATTACTTGTTCATACACAAGGTGGTATGACCAAGTTTACCCCTATTTTAGTTGGATTACATCAAGGATCAGCCCTAAGACTATATCTTTTTTGCTTTAGTCGTAGATGTTATCACTAGACATTTGTAAGAGGTTGAACCTTGAAATATGCTTTTTGTTGATGATATTCCTCTTGCTGATGATATTCCTCTTGCTGATAATAGTGAGGGAGTTGAAGGTAAACTTGAATTATGGAGGTCAACCTTAGATTCTAAAAGCTTTGTTTAAGTAGTCTAAAAATGAATATATGGAGTGTAATTTTAGTAATAATAGTTCTAGTGGGGTAATTGTGACTTTGATTGATCAAGTCATTAATAAGACTATACATTTTAGATATATTGGGTCTATTATTTAGAGTGATGGTGAAATAGATGGGAATTTTATTAGTAGAATTCAAGTTTGAGTGTTCAATTGGAGGAATGCATCTGGCTTGTTGTCTGATAGGGAAATCCCCTCAAAAATAAGGGAAAATTCTATAAGATAATGGTTAGAACTGCAATGCTTTAAGGGAAGAATGTTGGCCATTAAAAGGGAAGAACAACATTAAGTTAAGTGCTGTAGAGATTAGTATGCTCAGGTGGATGAGTGGATTTACTCTTATAGATAGGATATGAAATTAGCATATACATGTAAAAGTTGGAGTAGCTCTAGTGGAAGATAAGATTAGAGATAGTCACATTTGATGGTTTGCTCATATAAAATGACAGCCTTCTGATGAATTGGTTAGGAAAGTAGATGTATTAGATTTGACTTATGTTAAGAAAGGTAGAGGTAGACTTAAAAAGACTTGGTTAAAAAACATTAGAAAAGACATTTATTTATTAGATTTAAATGAAAATTTAACTTTTAACAGGGTACAATGGAGAAAAATGATTTATGTAACCTATTTCACATAGTTGTTTAAAGACTTGTTGTTGTTGTTGTTGTTGCAAAACTTCTAAGCTTAGAAATGATGTTACCTCATTTACCCAATTGGATCGAAAATCTACCTGTGCCATGCGAGAGATTTAAAGAACTAATTAGGAAATATCCTCACCATGACCTTCGTGATTGGACAATTTTTCAAACCATTTATAATGACTTTATAGGTTCTCTTAGATTAATCATTGATGATGCTATTGGTAGTTCTCCTATATTAAAGCTCTTTGATGAGGAATATAATTTAATTGAGGAGATGGTTACAAAATTTTTCAACGGTTATCTGAAAGAGTTAATCATATGTAGGTAGCTAGTGTTTAAAAATTAGATCCTATATCAATTTTAACTACACAAATAACTGTCTTATTTAAAAGAGAATATCTTTAGAGTCTCTACTGACTCAAATGTATCAAGAGTAAGATCTCTTAATGCCATCAATAAGAAAACTAATAAGCCTTTCTAAAATACTTATAATCCTAGTTGTAGAAATCATCCAAATTTCAACTAGAGTAATAATCTAAATTATAATACTAATTGAAAATCTAACTAGCTAAATCAAGAAAGAAATTGGAGCCACCCTCTTCAAAATTTTATAACATGAAGAAGGCTTAGTTATTTCCCTAATTTTTGGTCAAACAATCAGCTTAAGAATAAGAAGCCTTCATTGGATGAATTAGTTTTGCAAATAGCATACAATTATGAAGTTAAGCTACTACAATTAAAATATTAAAAATTTTAGTCTAATTTCATAAGTTAAAACACATTATATTTTATAAATGATTTTATTGACTGGAACAGACTGGGAGAGATAAAACCGTGCTTGCGTCACCGCTACGGAGATATGCCCGGTTCATTTAAAACCGGGCTGGCGTCTGCTGCTAGGGTTAGGGTTGCCAAAGCCTTCGGTTCTAAAGATTCTGAAAATGGCAGATGAAGCGAACAGAACCGTAACGCTTTATGAATACTAAAAGCTTTCTTTTATTGGCATGCTATCATTCTTCTCCTGTTATTGTGGAACTCATTTGAAGTATGTTTTCAGGCATTTGTGGAGCTCCAAGGCCGCTTGATAGAGACCACCGCGAAGTTGAAGCAGGTCCGTCTCATCTTGCATATTCTATGCCGTTTTCTGATTATTTTTAACTGTGATTGAGTTGGAGGTTTTTCTTGTTTTGCTTATCAATTTGAGGTTGGACTGATTATATTACTTATTTCTTAGGAGAATTTAATCTTGGTATCCATGTATTTGAAAGTAAAAGATATTTAATAAAAATTGAAAGATATCATGGGCTTGAATATGTTTGGATTTGTTTTGAGATTATTTGAATACAAACTATTTATATGAAACATTAATCTCCAAGTAAACATAATAGTTTTCATCAAAAGAATTTTTTTTTTTCAATAAGCATTATGTCATGTAGAGTTTTTAGGCATGTACAAATAGAAAATGTAGCATAATGCGTATACAACAACAACAACAACATCAAGCATAATGTATATATAAAAATAAAATTAAAAGAGTAGAAAAAGGAAAATTGTTAGACATGTTTCTAGATTCTATTGCATAATCAAGCATGCTTGCAAAGGATTATAACTATAGTTAAGTCAAGCATCATAAAGATTAATGGGATATCATGGAGATTTAAAAATAAATTTAATAAGATAATAATTAACTTGGCGATATTGTATGGATATAAGTGCTCACTAGTTTAAAAAACTTGTTGATTGTTAAGTTCATAGTAACTAAAATGAGAATGTTAAGATAGCCTTGTGGAAAAAACCAAGGTTATAATAACAAACTAGAGATAGAACCGGAATAGAGAGGAGTCAATTGTTCGACCTCGAACAGGGGTCGAACTAGATGACATAATAAATATTAAAAATATTTAAATAATATCCAAATGATAAGATAAGGATGTAATAATTATGAAATAATATAATTTTTGGGGCTAAAATATAAAATAAAAGTCATAAATAAATAATATATTTTATAATTTAAATATAAATAAATAAATTATTAATTAATATTATATATTTAAATATAAATAAATAATAATTTTAAAGTTAAATAGAAATAATTAAATATTCCCAATTATTGATATTAATTTACATTTAATAAAATTTATTTCATATAGAAATATATAAATTTAATATAAATAATTGTTAAATGTTATTTATTTAGGTATAATTTACACCTATAAATTATATAAAAAATTCACATCATAAATTACATTTATAAATTCATACTATATTATCTATAAATAACAATAGATAAAATTTCAATTATTAAATTATATTATTAAATAGATAAATAGATAAACATTAAAGGTTATTATCTTATATTAATTACATTATAAAAATTAATTAAAAGTTATGTTTATAAATATGTAGTTTATGTATTGTTAACTTGAGAAGTTCATTTTAGTTATTTAGTACCACATTACCTAGACACTTCAGATTAATAATATTTATATGGCTTTTTGAGCAATGAAGTCATATGGATGGAGATGCCATGTGGGTAAACTTAGTTGGAGTTTATTTAAGATTTGAATATTAAAAAAATGAAATGTTATTTTAAATTTAAATTTATTAAATTAAATTAAATTTATCATTATATTAAATTTATTAAATAAATTATTTAATTATATAAAATATATAATAATTGAACTGATCGATTCTTAAGTGCCAGTACCTATTCAAGGGTTTGGCATTTGAACCATTGGTTTGAACCGATTTTATCTGGTTCAGTATAAAGCAAATTTTAGAGAGAATCCAGACCGGCTGGGCAACCACTTCATGGTTGAACCGATTAGACCTGTCGGTACGATTCGATTTTCAAAACAATGGGCAAAACTAGGAAGGATAAATTAATGAATTATTATAGTAAAGAATTTGATTGATTGATATCAAGGTAGTTAAATAGATTTTGGTGGTTTGGTCATGTATAATGAATATATGATAAGGTTCCAACAGAATTGCTATGTGGAATTCTAGAAAAGAAAGCAGTTAATAATGTTTATATTTAAGTCATTAAAGATATGTATACAGGAGCTATTACTTGTGTTCAAACAAGGTGGTTTGACCCAGTATTTTCCCGTTTCAGTTGGATTACATCAAGGATTAGCCTTAAGATCATATCTTTTTGCTTTAGTCATAGATGTTCTCACTAGACATTTGCAAGAGTTTGTACCCTAGTGTATGCTTTTTTGCTCATGATATTCTACTTGTTGATAAGACTAGAGAGGGAGTTGAAGGTAAATTTGAATTATCGAGGTCTACCTTAGAGTCTAAATGCTTTCGTTTGAGTGGATCTAAAGTTGAATATATATAGTGTAATTTTCGTAATAATAGATCTAGTGGGGGGATTGTGACTTTGGGAAAGCTATTAATAAGAGTACACATTTTAAATATCTAGAGTGAAGGTGAAATAGATGAGGATATTATTTGTAGAATTCAAGTTCGATGGTTGATGTGGAGGAATGCATTGGGCTTGTTATTTGATATAAAATTCTCCCTTCAAACTTATGGAAAAATTCTATAAGATAGTGGTGAGTCCTGCAATGCTTTATGATGCAGAATATTGGCCATTAAAAGAGAAGCATAATATTAAGTTAAGGGTTGCTGAAATGAGGATGCTTAGGTGGATGTGTGGCTTTACTCTTAGAGATGGGATATGAAATGGGCATATACGTGAAAAGGTTGGAGTTGCTTCAGTGGAAGATAAGATTAGATAGTGTCACCTTAAATGGTTTGGTCACATAAAACGGCAGCCTTTCGATGACCTGGTTAGGAAAGTAGATGTATTATATTTGACTTATGTTAGGTAAGATGGATGTAAACCTAAAAAGACTTGGTTAGAAAATTGATATGGCAGTTCCCGTGGGAACTGCCTCTTAAGGCGGTTCAGAGAGAACCGCCTCAGCCGGACCCACCTGGGCCGGCAATTTACGACAGGAGGCAGTTCAAAACCGCCTCCCTCCTACCTATTTGAGCTTGCAGCCTATATGTGGGACCCCTTGGATTTAAATTTATTTGAATATTATTTTTTTAGGAAAGGGGTGGGCGGTGGAGAGCTTATAAATAGGAGAGGTAGCGGGAAGGGAGGGGTATGCTTAGATTTGAGTTTCTCTTGGAGTCTTTTGAGGTTTGAGGGCTCTAGATCTTGCGTCTAGAGATTGGAAGAAAACGATTCTCCTCTCGAATAGAGGATCACTTGTATCTTGCTTTGTGTTAGTTTTGTTTTATTTCCCTTGTTACAATCCACTTCTTTGGGGGCTGATTTCACCAATATTTTGCTTTATTCCCGTTGTTTTCTTCCAATTAGTGGTAGGTGTGCTTGCGAACTCAAGTATTCCCTTAGGGTTTCTTGCGAACTCAAGTATTTCCTATTAAATTGGTATCAGAGCAAGTCTTGGGACGTGTGGAGGGCTGATTTCAACGGATTCTAGCAGCAGTTTTTCGCTCCAAATCGGAAGAAGTTGCTGTTTTTCTTTTCCAAATCCTATTTTGGTAAATCTACAGTCTCCGAATTGTGATGGCTGCCAAAAAAGTGGATGCCTTGGAGGAAAGACTCGAAGGGGAGATGAATCAAATCAAAATGACAGTGGAGGAAATGATATCTTCAATGGAAGGTCAAGTTGTTGATCTTCGAGAGATGATGAAAAAAATGCTGGAAATTCAAAACCAAACGGCGGCTTCATTGGCAAAAGGGAAGAGGGAAAATGTACGAATTCCGAAATTCGTAGGGAGGAAGATGAGGTGGAAATCATGGAAGGAGAGGGAAGAAGACCCCATCTAAAGTCTGTCAAGAGGGGAGAAAGAGGAGGCAGATATGGGGAACGCCAAGAGGGGTACTATGACCGCCGAGGCGCTGATTTTGAAGAAAGAAGGGGGGATTTCGAAGGGGGTTTGGGCTTTGGCAGGGCAAGAGAAGACCGAGAAACTTGGGGTGCACCTAGCACTTGGTAGAGGGGAAACTATAGAAGAATCTGGGACAATGGGGGATCAAAAGGTGAGGAAGTTGAAGATGCCCATATTCGAAGGAGTAGATGTGTATGGGTCGATTTACAAAGTGGAGCGATACTTGACCGTCAATGGGCTGACGAAGGAGGAGAAGCTGACTGTATCCGGATTATGCTTGGAAGGGAAAGCCTTGTTGTGGTTTCAATGGAAAGACCCGAGGAGGCCGATTGGGAACTGGATGGAATTTAAAGACTGCATAATAGAGCATTTCCAAACCGATCGAGGAGGAGACTTCTATGAGCAGTTCTTTGCTCTAACGTAAGAGGGATCGGTAGCAGATTACCGGGAGCAGTTTGAGCACCTAGCTAGCAGGGTGGAGCGACTCTCAGATATAATGTTAGAGGGAAATTTCATGAAAGGGCTGAAGGCGGAGATCCGAGCAGCAGTGAAGGTCTTGATGCCCCGTGACTTAGGAGTGGCCATGAGGTTAGCCCAACTGGTGGAAAATCAAAAAATTTTGGAGAAGGGAGCCAGGAGTAGCAGCACCGGGGGCACATACAGAATGACGACCACTCATCTCGTACCTAAAGGTCCTACAACAGGAGGTAGGTAGTAAAGAGGCCACCAATGAGAAAACAAGGGGAGGGAATTTCAAGCGGCTGACAGAGAAAGAAATGCAGGAGAAGAGGGCTAAGGGGTTGTGCTTCCGATGCGATGAAAAGTACACACAAGGACATCGGTGCAAGGACTGAAATCTTCAGGTTCTCACCGTCTGCGATGACGAGGAAACTGAGGAGGGAGGTGAGGAGGAGATAGAGGAAGAGGAGAAGCTACACTTGGATTTGGCTGAGGTTTTCCTAAACTCAGTGATGGGGTTCACTATGAATCACATCATGAAAGTGAAGGGAGAGATAGAGGACAGGAAGGTTGTGGTGCTAATTGATAGTGGGGCTACCCATAATTTTATTTCCACCCAGGTCGTAGACCAATTGGGAATAAGATTGGTGGACACAGGCTGTTACGGAGTGATGATGGATACGGAGAAGATAGAGAAAGGTTAGGGGATTTGCAGAGAAGTACGATTGACGATCCAGGGGATACAGGTGAGGGAGGACTTCCTTCCACTAGAGCTGGGGAGCACGGACGTCATCCTAGGGATGAAATGGCGCAAACTTTGGGTGACACCAAAGTGAATTGGGGAGCACTCACGATGGAGTTGATGGTGGACGGAAGGAAGGTAGTGATTAAGGGGGACGTGGGATTTTCAAAATCCCTAGTTTCTCTTAAAACGATGGTGAGAGATATCCATTTGGCAGGCGGAGGGTATTTAATGGAGTTGCACAGTTTGGAGGGAGCAAGATTGGAAGAGGGAGGAGATATACCCCTCTCCATTCAACCGTTGATTCAGCAGTTCCAAGAGGTGCAGCCACCTCAGGGATTGCCACCGCAGAGGGAATAGGAGCATGCCATCGTGTTAAAGGAGGGAGTGTCGCCCATCAGTGTCTGACCTTATCACTACCCTCAGTTCTAGAAGGATGAGATAGAAAGGTTGATTAGAGAGATGCTGGAGGCAGAGATCATCAGACCCAGCATCAATCCCTTTTCTAGCCCTGTTCTGTTGGTGAAAAAGGATTGCAGCTGGCGATTTTGTGTGGACTGTAGAGCACTCAACAAGGAAACTGTACCTGAAAGTTTCCTATACTAGTCATTGAAGAGCTGCTAGATGAATTGAGTGGGACCGTGATCTTCAGCAAGATAGACTTGAAATCGGGTTACCATCAGATCCGAATGAAGGAGGATGTACCCAAAACTGCCTTTAGAGCTCATGAAGAATATTATGAGTTCCTGGTGATGCCGTTTGGCCTTACCAATGCTCCAGCTACTTTCTAGGCCCTCATGATTAAGGTTTTCAAACCTTATCTCAGACAATTTGTACTGGTATTCTTTGACGACTTCTTGGTCTATAGCAGGACAGAAGAGGAGCATTGGGAGCATTTGAAGAGGGTGTTAGAGGTATTGCAGGAGCACCAACTGAGGGCTAATTTGAAGAAATGCTGCTTTGCACAATCCAGTGTAGAGTACTTGGGCCATGTGTTGTCAAAAGAGGGAGTTGCAGCAGATCAATTCAAAATTGAAACGGTGATAAGGTGACCAGTGCCGAAAAATCTGAAGGAATTGAGGGGATTACTAGGATTGACGGGTTATTACAGGAAGCTCGTGAAGGGGTATAGCTCCATAGCATGGTCACTCACTGAACAGTTGAAGATGGACGATTTCCTAATGGGGGAGGCGGCCACATCAGCATTTGAGAGCTTGAAGAAGCCGATGACTACGGTGCCGGTCCTAGCTTTGCCAGATTTCATTCAGACCTTCATTGTGGAGACGTATGCTTCAAGGTACGGGCTAGGTGCAGTACTGATGTAGAGTCGTAAACCCATTGCCTATTTCAGCCAGGTATTGGCTGCTAGAGCGCGACTGAAATCAGTTTACGAGAGGGAATGAATGACCATCGTCTAGTCCATCCAGAAGTGGCGGCCCTACCTGCTTGGGAGACATTTCATTGTTAGAACAGATCAGTGAAGCCAGAAATACCTATTGGAACAGCGGATGGTGACGGAAAAGCATCAAAGGTAATTGCCCAAGTTGTTAGAGTACGATTTTGAGATTCAGTATAGACCAGGGGTGGAGAACAAGGCGGTGGACACTTTGTCCACATGTATGGGGGAACTGCAGATTGTGGCCTTATCCGTTCCTTTGATGCTTGACTGGGAGGCTATCAGGGAAGAAAGTGCTAGAAATGAAGAACTGGAAAGGATCAGGTTAGATTTACTAAAATAGTAGGGTAGCCATCCAGGGTACTCATTAGAGGGAGACAGACTGCTGTACCAGAGAAGATTTGTGATGCTCCGTACCTCGATCCACATCCCAAATTTACTCCAGGAATTTCATGGAAGTGCAGTTGGGGGCCATTCAGGAGTGCAGAAGACCTACAAGAGACTAGCGGCCGAGCTTTAGTCGAAGGGAATGCATAGAGATCTAGAGGAGATGGTGGCAAGGTGTGAGATCTGTTAGAGGAACAAGTATTTGGCTATGTCACCAAGGGGACTACTACAGCTGTTGCGCTACCGGGACGAGTATGGGAGGAAATATCCTTGGATTTCATAGATGGGCTGCACCGTTCAGAAGGCTTCACAGTGATCTTGGTGGTGGTGGATAGATTGAGCAAGTATGCTCATTTCATCCCCCTCCGACATCCTTACACCGGGGTGACAGTGGCTTCAACATTCATTAGAGAGGTGGTCAGATTGCATGGCGTACTAGAGGCGATCGTGCCAGATAAAGATAAGGTGTTCCTCAGTCATTTTTGGATGGAATGATTCAGGTTACAAGGGACAGTTCTAAAGAGGAGCACTGCTTACCACCCACAGACAGATGGCCAAACGGAGGCAATCAATAGGAGCTTGGAAACCCAAAGTTAGTTTTGTTTTATTTCCCTTGTTGCAATCCACATTTTGGGGCTGATTTCGCCAAGATTTTGCTTTATTCCCACTATTTTCTTCCAATTAGTGGTAGGTGTGCTTGCGAACTCAAGTATTCCCTTAGGGTTACTTACAAACTCGAGTATTTCCTATCAAAAATATTATAAATTACCTTTCGTTAGTAGATTTAAATGAGAATTTGACTCTTAACTGGAGACAATGGAGAAAAAGGATACATAGTGGGATAAAGGCTTGTTGTTGTTGTTGGAAATGTATAATGAATTATAGAATATGCACTGCTTAAATGGTTAGATGAAACTTGGTGTTAGAAGATTAATAAGGAGATGGAGACCGAAATTAAGATTGATAGACATTCAAAATTAATTGAAAAGAATAATCATAACACCTCAAGCATCATTGGTGGGACCAAATGAAAAACGTTGATTCATAAAATTGACCTCAAATAGTTGCAATAAGGCTAATTATGATGATGGTTTATGTGAAAGTTGTAATTGGTTTATATAATTGAAAAGCTAGTTTTCTAAAACTTGATCATTAGTTTTATTATATTCTATTCTGTATGTGGTACCATATGCTATTAAGTGCTTGGATTGAGCTGAAAAACTTTGACATATATTTTAGCTAGAAGGATTGACAAAAACAAACTAATGCTTCAAATTGTTAATAATTAATTAAAGTAAATTGTCTTATATAATTGAAAAGCAATTTTGAATTTCTACTTAAAACTATAATTCATCCATATATGGTACAAGTGCTTTTATCATGATCTCAAATTTTTGTTTTTGGTGAATGATGTTCTTTTGTTATATTTTAGGTGCAGCATCAGATGCGTGGTAAAGAGGGAGAAAAGAAGCGTGCTTACCTTACATTAGATGAACTACAACGGTTGCCAGATGCTACAAACACATATAAATCTATAGGTAAATGATGAGATGTATAAGGCAACTTGAAAAGTTCTAAAATTGAACCAAGCACACTTTTCTTAAATATTTAATTTTTTAAAGTTAAGTTTGCTGTCAGAACTGTCCTTTTCTCTCAGATATGATGGAGACTAAAATGATATGGTATGTTTTAGTTTTTTTAGTTGCTGGATATTTCTTCAGGATAATCATTAACCTCATTCTATCTATTTAATGTATTACACATGGGGTATTTTATGCCAACATAGCAATACTTGAGCATCACCAGTATCTTAAAATTCATTGCTTAGGGTTCATTTATTTGGTTAGTTTATGTTTTTTAATTAGATTTAAATGAGAATTTGACTGGTTTTCAGTACTGGTAATCCAGTTGCAGAAGCGACCCCATAGGCTTGTACTTTCGCGTCTCTCTAAAATTGCAGTCATGGTAAGATCTTGGTTTATTCCATTTTCAAGGACTCCCAAGCACACGTATTAGCTATAACTAGAAATGAGATAGCTAATGAAAGGCTTGTTATTTAACAGTATAATATGTCTTCTATGCCAATGTCAACCAATCATTCATAATGAATTGATTTAATTCTTCTTGCATGGCTAAGATAAAAAATTCATAACTCAAGGCTTGGTCTATACTAGTTTGTTTTATCATGAAAATGAATGAAGTATGCAAACTTCATTTCTAAAACCTTACCTAATCCTAACCCATGCATATTGTTCTACTAAGATAAGCTCTTTAAGGTGAATATAAGAGTATCTCCACTCTTTAGGAAAAGGCTCATGATACTCATCTTTATTTCCTAGATCAATTCTCACTACTCCAAGGGTAATCTCAACATCATCTTCTACTTCTTTCTTATTCTCAATCGGTAATATCATGTGAGTGTATTCCTCTATAAGTGAATTTCACCACGAATCGAATATATATACGATAGATCATGATATATAAGCATTTCAGAATAAAAATTCACGAATCTTTTTTTTTTCATGAAAATGAAAAAGTCTCATGAACAATCATGAATGATCCACCAGATCATTGATACGGATAATGTCCAAATACCAAATACGTAAAATATGACCCAATGAAGAAAAAGGATTCATGAAACCAACCTCACGTAGTGGGATAAGGGCTAGATGTTTTTGTTGTTGTGCTGTCTGGATAAGCTCTAATGGATGTTTTAGATTATTTGTATTCAGTCTTATCTTTATATTGTCTTTCGTTATACAATGCAATATATATCTAAAGTTTGAATCGAGTTTTTTAGATTTGCAGTTGTCATTTGCAAAGGCCTGATAGTTTTCTTCTCATTTGGAGCTATTTGGAGTGCCTCTTTAGCATGAGACTAGTAGATCTGCCTCCTGTCTTCTTGTAATAATGCTTGCTTTGTAAGGTGAAGGAGCAACCATCAGGACCATAAAAAACCAAGGGATTCATGTTAGATCAATATTTTCATTAAAATTCAATGCATTATTATGAATGCTGGCAAGAATGTTACGCAAAAACAAAATTTGATGAAGTTCTAAGGTTTTAAAGTTGTTTTAGGTTCTTTTAATTGTTACTGTAAGATGATGAGCATTATGACATCTGATTGGTTAGAGTTCGTTAAAGTTGTTTGGGTTTGTCTTAGTTCAATTTATTTATTTAATGTGTATACTCTAGGGTTCATAGTTATTCTTTGAGTATATGATCTGATTGAATTAATATCATTTATCACAAAGTAGTATTCAAAAACATAACTTTCATTCTAAAAATATTTTCTAATTTAGCAGTAGTTCTACTTGAATATTGATAATATTCCCTTTTTTAAAGGCCATAATATGTTGAAAAACAGAAATGCTTCCATGTCTATTTGTTCTACTATCGTATTTTGTTTGGACTACATTGCTTATTGTTAAATGCAAATAGAGCACTCAGTGAATTGAGCTTAGGCCGTTCCTTGTTGCACGCCTCCTAGGTAGGCTAACACTATTACTAAGGCTTGCTTAGGAAAGCACCTTGCATTTAGGTGCGAGGAAGCAAAGAAAATGTCTATCTTTTATTTGATAGATGCATGTTAATATTTCATATCTTGACTTTTATATGATGATAACTAAATATGCGATGATGGTAAAAAAGAAAAAAATCAAGAGTTGGAGAACAAGCATGTATGCTCGAGACAAAATAAATAAATGAATTTGCATGAGCTTAAAAATTTTGAGTACTAAAGTTACAGATGCAGAGGATGATGAGTCCAACAAAATAGAGGAGTTTGATGGCTACAAATCTAGTGATAGAGTGATTCAAAGCTCAAAGTTCTAGCCTGCGGCGTTGCCGACCATTTGGACTTCTTCTCCACATTCTATTTTATTTTATAAGAGAACTTCAAGGAGGGCATTTTGTATTTTTGTTCTCTAATTTTGTCTCCTTTTTAATTAAACGAAAAAACCCGAAATCAATTACCTTTATTTAAGTAGTGGGATACTTTAAGAAGCATTGGAAAAGTACTTTATGAGGTTATCTTTTCCTCTCATTTCCCCTCTCTTGGCTGACCACATTTTGCAGATTAAATATTATGAAGTCCGAAGGTCTTTTGGGAGTCTATAGAAGGGAACTTGTTATGTGATATTGGGGGTTGAAATTTCGAATATGAAATTTTGAATATGAAATTTTGCTGTCCTTGGCACTGAGGGTCTGTGTGTGTGATTTGATGGTCTCGATTAGTGTTCCAATTGTAGGTTTGACTCTCATGGTATGATCCCCAATCTCTTTTATGCATCTTCAATTTTCCTTTTTTTAATCTCAAAAAAAAAAAAAAATTTTTTTCTTCTCTTAAATATTACTTTTTTTTGTGCTGCCACATTTATGTTAGTAGCTAAACTCCATCCAAGATTACTTCTGTTAGTTTTAAACCCACCGTGCTTGTTTTTCCCTAGTTTTAAGATCTTTCTTGTTGTCTTTAACACTTTTGGTCACCATTTTGGTATGTTTGGTTTGCTGATTAATAAATAGTTAGGTTAGATCAGTATTTGTTTACATTTGGGTGTTATTATAACATTCTTTTTATTGTTTTTATCAATTACTTTTACGCCTTTTTCTTTGGTTCTTACGCTTAAATTATGTCCTCTAGAGGTACTTGAATCTCAGTTGATTTTACAAGTTATTCATATCCTAATGCTGCAAAAACATAGCATTGATCAGATCCTAGACTCGGGAACTGCATCAAATTTGTAGATGATTATTATTATCTACATTCACAAACATCAACACAAGGAACCCTAATCATCATGGAAACAAGAGGAGAATGGATAATACCTTTTAGGTCTTCTTGATAGAAACTATTGCTAAAGTCATAGTTTCTCTAGCTTGATATACCTTATTCTTCCGCAAGATTTAGGTTCTTAGATAGTGCCCTTATTCTATCTTCTTCTTATTGGCTATCCCTGTACTTCTTTGTTGGCTCAAGGTCTTCTTCCTCGACTATTTCTCCAACAACAATAAAAATACCTGCAGTCCTTCACAACCACTTTTTGAAGCCGTATATGACTGGCCTGAAACGTCTTCTTAGACTTGTAAAGCTTGGTGGCCAAATCCTTCATGAACTTGGATAAGTTCTTAATTATATTTATTCATGCTTTTTACTCTCCTTAGTTATATTTACTCATGCTTTTTACTCTCCTTACCTTCCCCCTCTTACGCACACCCCAAAACCCCAATCCTCGCCGCCTATCCTCCTTCCCTTAAATCTTTAACTTTAATCCACTCTATAGTTGTTGGCATCCACTCACTCTAAGCCATTATTAGAATTCCTCTATGAATTTCTTCTTCCATCAATCCTTGAAGCAACCCTCATCCACAAGGCCCTACTCCATTCCCCGATGGCCTTAACCTCTATTTAACCCTCTAATTTCTTGGCTGAATCCTCCAATATTCATACATGAGCTTTCTATCCCTCCACAAGTCCATAAACTTATTCCCCTCAAAGTTATCTCTCATCCAACTTTTAATTCTCCGTAAACAGCAAAGCTGGTTGCCTTCCAACCAGTTTTGGAGCCTCTACTTTATCCCCACAAACTACCACAAGCAAGCGCTTGTACTTCCTAAGAGATCATCCTACCATTGTTGACATATTACATAAAAAAAAATCCCATTCATTCTTGTAGCATCACCCATGTTGATGTAATCCAACTCATGTTGCCATGCCCATCCCACACCTCACCATTATTTCTTCCCTACCTCACACAAAAACCCCCGACTCACTCTAGATTTCTCTCTCGAGCTCCTCCGGCTCGCAATCTCTTTTGATCTCTCTTAGGATCTAACCCATGTCATTCTCACTTTCTTGTGGTGTCCTAGGGAATGTGTGACCCCTTACTATCTCCATCTTTGTTGCTGCTGCTCTAGTTGTTGTGCGACCCTATCACTGTCAGCTCCTCCCTAGTCATCATACTCCCCAACCATTGTTTAAAATTGCACAATATGAGGCTCGTCTTGAGGCCCACCTCAGCGCAATTTCAGTGAAAAATGCATCGAGGCTTATACCTCAAACATTTTTGAGGCGGCTTGCCCCTCAGCTTGGCTAATGCCCGCCTTGAGGCACACCATGCCTCATTGATGTGAGGCTTATGCTTCACCCTATTTATATATATTTTTATGAAAACTTACCCAAATTCTAAACTAAAACCCCAAATAAATCACTCTTTAATGCACCCCAAGTTGTAACAACTTTCTCTTGACTGCCTTGAACTCCAACCCTCCATTTTCTCTATAGTCACCATCTTCGTAGCCGCTGTCAGGCGGCTAGGGATAACTTGAAACTCGTACACCACCACCAATTCCTCTAAAATTTTAGGAGTATTAATCTCATCTTTATATTAATGAAAAACATTTATGAAAGAGGAAGATTATTGAAATAAACAAAGAAGAAGAATCAAATTGGGAGACATTAGACTCCATATGATGAGAGAGAGGATAGACCAATTTGTTGTTATGATGATGACTCAAATAAAACCCATCTAGTGATGAC